CTTCTTTGGCTGGTTGTGGGAATGTGGCAACCATATCATGTCTAAAATTCTCCTTCAAACAACCCATTTTTTAGAGAAAACATTGAAAAGGACAAGGGGAAAATAGTCTCAGCCTGTCATCTTTATTTCTTACTTGTTTTGAATCCTCCATTCCTAACAGTTTGGCACATAGTACATAGTTATTTCTCATCAGTATCTATCACAGTAGCCAAGTATCTCTCCCTTAAGTAGAGTTTTACTTCTTCACTTTCTGTACTGCTTTAGTTCAGTTCTGAAATGTTTGCCAGAAATGTATTAAAGTTTTATTAGCATTCGTTATATGTGGTTCTATCTTTCTAAAATTAAAGTTATATGAAGGTTCTGGTTATATCTTTTAATCTTAAGTCTATTTTTTGTATTTTTGTGGGTGATACAAATAGATATCTCCTAGATGGAACAGAAAGAGTGGGTTTGAGGTTTTGCTTTAATCTGCGGAGGTAGAATCTCAAGTTTGGTCACCACTGGGAACAGCTCTGACTGTTGTTCTTACTGCGTATCGATTCTATTATCACCAATCTTTTTTCTTGCCCCAAAATTTCAAGTTTGCTTTTTTTTTTCAGTTGCCCAGAACCCACAAAGTTGACTGCACTTAAGTGAAAACACCAAGTCTCTCAGTTTGGCTCACTCATTAGGGAGTGAGCTGTGAAGAACATGTTTACTTTGCTTATATTAGTTGGTTTTGTTAGATAGAAATGTCATATTATTGAGTTTTTGCTAATATGCTTCCAGGTAAACATCACTTGATTAGCCAGTATGGATGTTGCTGCATTCCATTGGCAGCTTTTCTCTGTGGACTAACTAATGGGCATTTCTTCTCACTACTCAGACAGATTTTCAGGAAAACATGAAACTTCCCCAAACCTAATTAATTTGTGATCTTTCTTAAGAAAATTTGGTTGAAATAAGCTAAGAGGTTTAATACAAGTTCCGGGGAAGAGTTGAACAAGTGGAGTGACAGACAAAATGCTTAGAATTATTTGTATTTTCCTGTTGGTGAGATCACTGACAGACAAAACTGGATAATGGTGGTGATTTATAGAGGTGGATTCAATGTCCTGTGAAAAAATGAACTCTGACATGTCCTTTTCTTAACTCAGAGCGTGCTCTTAGTTTGGACATTTTACTGAGTGTGTTTTACTACATCTTACTGGTTTAAAGCCTGTTTTCTAAAGCTGACTCACATCTCCCTCAAACACTGGCAAAGTCAATAGATAGTGGTGAGATTTTACTTGTCATGAAATTGGTCCAAAGTAGATCCTTTCTTTCACCCCGCAATGACTTAGGGAATCTTTGTAGAATGTATGAATTTTGTTTGATACTGAGAGTCTTAATTTTTTCTTTTGTTGGACTGTGAAGTCCAGAATCTCAAGGCTTCTTTGCATTGCAGAAAAACTGAATGTTTGCTGAAGGAAGAACAGCATTATTTCTTTTGTTACCCTCACCTTCCTACCTTCCTCCAGCTAACATCCTACCTCTCCCTTACTCCTTTCAGCCAGCATAGCAAGCTGTGCTGTCTTCTTTGGGAATTATGCTGTCTTCTGCTTTTACTCACACTGCTTTCACTCAAGGGAAGCTTAGAAGCAAGAATTCATTGCTGAGTAAGAGTATTAAGAAGTAACAGAAGAGAGCACATGGATGCAAAGCCCCACATTCAAAGTTACTGTGCAACACATCTGAGTCCTACACGTTTTTTTCTTATCTTCTTCTTCAGCCCTTCCAAAACCTCCTTCTGACAATTTGCCCTATCTTAATGTCAAACTGAATTTTTTTTGTTTTTCCAATAAGATCAGGAGAGCTAAACACAGTTTTGTTTACATGTCTGAGCAGCTCTGTTGGTATTTCAGATTGGTCTGGGAGGAAATGCTGAGCTGATGGGCTGCGTTGTCCTCTGTGAATGCTCACTCTCCTGAGGAGCATTAGCAGCCAGTCTGCCTCTTCCAGTAAATGGAAAGCAAACTGTCTCCTGTCCTGTACTGGAAGTGAGACAACTCTCCTTGAACAGAAAAACTCTGAAACTAAGGTGAGAAAGAGTGGGGTTCTTCATGATTTGTTTTACTTTTATTTTAAGCATAGGTGCTTTTCTCCTTTCTCTACAATAAAGATTATGGAAAAAAGCTTCTAAAAATAATAGGGGTAAAAAAGAACAAAGAGAAAGCATCTAGTAAAGCAGTGACTGCCCACAGCCACTTGTGTTAAATGCTGCCGAAGGACAAGTAGCAAAGACTAATTCCTAACATGAGTGTTCCTGAAGCAGGTAAGTGCTAGGATACATATAGTTTGTTTCTAGTAAGGGAATACACTGGAATAATTTTAGGAAATACTAATAACTGAGCAATTAATAAACAAGAATTGCAATATAGTTAGGCTAAATGTCTTTATGCAAACATTCTTTCCCTCAAATAAACCAACAGCCACAAAAAAAAAGAGTCCTCCTTCAGTGTCAGGGCTGTACTAGCTGGACTTGAAAACTAAGAGGTATCTCCAAAAAATCCTCAAATCAAAACACAAGAACAGAATCAGGGTACTAAAGTAAGTTGTGATGTTTTGAATATTGCTTGGAGTTCTGAAAAGTTTCTTTGCAGAGAGGGTGTTGAACTGTGGAAACACCTTCCCAAGACCCAGAACCTTAACATATCACCTCCAACCTCCAAATTCTCTAGCTGTGTTTGAAGGTGCCTGCACAGTGCTTTGTTTAGACTTGCTGATTTCTGAAAAATAGAAAGCCCCAATTTTGCTAGCTTCACCTAAATTTACCTCTATCACCACATTGTAAAAACTGTAGAACAAAGACCGAGTAAGGAACATATAAAGGTAAGTTTCTAATTATGTGTGGAAATGAAATTACGAAGTGATAATGAAATATAAAATTCAGTTCTGGATTACAGTTAACAAGACTCCTTGGTTACTGGTAGCTCAGTGCTCATCACTGAGCATTAAGTGTTCCTTCTGGAACACTTATAGAATCATAGAATGGTTTGGGTTGGAAGGGACCTTAAAGGTCATCTAGTTCCAATCCCCTTACCGTGGGCAGGGATACTTTCCACTAGAACAGATTGCTCAGAGCCCCATCCAACCTGGATCTCTGGACCAGGGCTGCCTCTTCTGGGCTTGGTGTCTTGTGTAGTCTTTCAAAAGAATCCTGCTTCCTTTCAATACAGATATAGTATTTGGAATTTACCTGAAGGCTTGTATCTTTCAATAGTGAAAATACTCCAGGGTGTCTTCTAAACTTTTCACCTTCTGGTCCTAGCAGACAGTTGCGAATTTCTTTTGCAGTAGTTTTTAACAACTTTTCCAGATCTTTGTGGCACAGTATGATTGTCCAGTGAGATAGTACATATTATAAAGGCTGTTAATGTATGGCAGGTTTTGGCCTCTGTCCTCTGGTAGCATCTCAGACTTGTGTGAAGATCTTAAATGGTGCACTGCCATTAAAGGAGTAAGAGGGTGCCTAGACCAAACTGCCTTCTCCTTCTCCTTACCGTGTAAAGCTTATACCTTCTTTTGTCAAAGTGACCCACTCTAGCGAAGTTTGAGAAAAGACACGGTGTATTTGGTAATCTAGTTGTGATAGATGTTTGTCTTTTATTGTGGACTAGAAAAAAAAAAATGTGAGAGAAAGCACTCCTATTTTTAGGAAGAAGGAAGCCTCTCTGACCTTGAGTGCATTGTAGGTCTTGCTTCTATGTACTGAAGCAGAATTGGATTCTTCCATACCTGTAGATAAGTGAGGAAGGAGGAAAAAAAGTAGATACTAGGAAAGAAAAACACCAAAGACTTGAAATTCAGAAGGCCATTTCAGCCAAACGGAGGTAAGAAAGTGAAAATACACCCACTCTTTGAAGAAAGATATGTAAATTATGCTAAATAGGATTGTTTCTAGAAGAGCTAAGAAGGTGCTATGTATAAAAAGTATGTAAGCACACCTATGTGTAAGAAGCAGGACTTTACAGAGAATTGTTGGGTTTGGGAGACCTGAGAGAATGAGAACCGTTCAGAAGGATGCAGATAGTGTGTATTTGCCCAGTTTTCACCATTCTGAATACTGATGTCATTACTGCTCTTCTGGGTATTTAAAAAACTCAGCTACTTCTAGATAGTACGTTAAAATAAGCTGATATGTTCACAAGCAGTGGTTCAGTTGGAAGAGCTGCAGGAATTCAAAAGTGAAAGCTGATTCTAAAATATTGAAATTTTGAAGTCTTGGACATGGAAGGCCAGCTAACATTGTCTTCCAAAGTGACGCTCTTGGGTCTGCTGAGAATAATTGGCATCCATCTTACTTTGTAGTATCTGATACAAGATGCTCATGAGCTAAAATTGAAGACAAAATTATTAAAGTAACTGGATCACTGATCAGTCTATCAATTTGTACATTATGGAAGAAATAAGCCTGAAAAATAGGAAGTGGAACGATCTTGTGTTTCGAGTAAATCATGTTGAACTAATCTTGTCCTTCAGCATGTGGTAACAGGAACGGATTATAGGAATGTGCTTTAGAAATCTTAATTCATAAAGCCCTAGAAATCTTTATTCTTTTAATTCATCTGAAGCAGAAAGCTGTATAAAATTAACTGGAATTTGGGTTTTTGCTTGGTGTAGACTATTAGTAAGTTTCCAGTGTGAGCATCAGAAACATCAGTTTGAGAAATTGCCAGTGACAGAGGAAATTTTGTTCCAAAGGAATGAAATTTTACATTAGAAACATGAGTGAATTTCTCTTATGTATACTTAAGTTTTCCTCTCGCATTTTTTTTAACAGTTGGTGATATGGTTAAGGTGTTCTATCTAAATTTGCCTTTTCGTTTTGGTAAAACACACTGACTTTTACAAGGAAAATGGGAAAGGAGGTTTGGTGTTTTTTTTTTCACAATAATATGACAAATTCTAATACTTGAAAATTATGGTTTAGATATATTTTAAGAAAATGACAAAGGTTCTTTTTTTTTGAAACTTTATAGCCTTGCTGATGCATGGGAAAATGACTTGGGAGTTCATCCTTTAAAGTTTCCATCAGAAACATGCTTGGAATTACTGCTAATGCTGGGTTTGAGCACCGCATCTCTTCCACCTTCTCTTCGATGCATGAACTCTTTTCAGGTAAGGAATAGGTGCTATTTTAGTATAAAGGTGTTACTTTTAGGAAAAAGAGCGATTCCTGGGGCCCATAAAACCTTTCGGAGTAAAGGTTTATATTCTGTAGTTGCATGATTCTCCATTAGATTAAATATAGCAATGGATGACTTCTTATAGTGCTCAGTTTCTTTCAATTGTATTAAATTTAGATCAAGGCAGGAAATGTTATTGGATCTTTAAACAGTGAATCACTTTTTAAATTAAATTAGATGTTTAAAGAAATTTCATCAACTTAGTCTGGAGTAGTTGGAATCATTATATAAAATCTTGTTGGCTTAAAAAACAATAAAAATTTTCAGCAAAAAGTAAAGATTTCCAGTGGTGAAAACCTGCAAAATTTAGAGTGAGCATTCAGTTTTCTCCAGTGTTCTTCTCTATGTTACTGTGGAAGTTTTCAGTATTCATTGAAGTTTTCCTACGAAAAAGCTGTTGCAGGCACGTTACATTGTGATATGTATCTATTATGTGTCTGGAGACTAGGATTTTTACAAATACAATACACAGGCAACTGAGTTCGTGATGATCTGACACAGCAACTCAGCCTTTTTATGCTGCTTCTGTCTTCACTTGTAGTTACATAGTCCATCAGTTGTGTATTGATGCAAATCTAAAGTAACCAGCTGTTGAGCAGTGAGTATAACTGAGTCTGAGTTTGTTCTGACAGCTATAGAAAAATCATTGTCTTAGCAGGACAGAGTGTCCTAAACAGTTTGTAACAAGAAATCAGGTAGCTTTTGTTTGTCCATACTTCCTGTTTTAAGTTAAGGGCTGTTTAATTAGTGTTCCTGAGTTGTGTTTACTGAAAAATAATGTTATTTTAGAATTTTGGAGCCAGAAAGAACGTGGTCATAAGCCAAAATCAAGTAATAGATTTTAGTGGAGTTACACTGATGTACAGCTGCTGAAAACTCCTCTAGATGTTAGGAAATAAGTATGCACCTGTTACTGTCTGCTCGTTTTGTGTCTTATGAGCTTGGAAACAGGGGATCTGTGTATGGTAAACATTTGGGTATGGCAGCAGCTATTGATTGTTTCAGCATGTTATTTTAATATCCAAGGTCAGAATTGTTATTCTGTTGTACATTCAGGGGCCATGAAATTGAAGAATCTCCTGGATACCAGCAGAGTGAGATTGCAACAATTAGTAGTTTCAAGAACTGGCCAGTGCTAGTTATCCATGCAGTTGAATGGTCCATATATTTCCTATTAAGAACTGAACATTTTGGTTGTCTAATCCACAGGATGTATTCCTTGTCCATTACACTGCCAGTAATCTGTGGTAAAATCTTCTCTGCTTTAGACATGATAGATTAAATAGGAGTCTCTTCTTGTATGCCAAGGCTGTATGTCCTACATTTTTTCCGTATGGACTCGGTCCCAGATTGTGCATTCAGGATTCCCTTTGATTTGTGTGTTGAGGTAGAGGTAGGAAGTGATAAATGGCTGTCACGTATGAAGTCAGGTATGAATAAGTAAGCTCAGGAAGGTTTTTTTCTTGGAGTACACAAAATATTGGAGTTTTCTTTTTCCTTGTCATTCACTCCATGATTGTACTTGATTGCTCCTGGGTCATTTTAGATTTGTAAGGCTGTCTCTGTAAAGGAACTGTCACCCAAGAGGCACATGTGCAGGGCCCGGAATTGAGCCAGGCATAAGGTTATGTCAGCTGTGAGTTGGGAAGCCCCATGCATCCCCTGGAGACCCTCTGACTATTGCCTTCCAGCCCCAGGTTTCTGTGGAACAGATGAAGGCAAACATCACAGTGCTTTGCTAAACCAAAGGGAATGGTGTCTTCCAGCACTGGCCTGTGCAGGCTCTGGTTTGTCCGCCTGTGTGCCAAAGTTGGTGACGTGGCAATGTCCGGTCTTGGTTGTAAACACAATTTCAGGCTGAAGATACTATATTTTGAGGTGATTCCCAGTGTCTGTGCTTTTGTAGCAACACACAGGTAAGAATTCATAGTTTTTGGAAAGCCCAAGTTCTGAAACCTGCTCTGCTAAGATAATGTTATCTTTTGCCAAGTGGGAGGAAAGGAAAATGGCTCTTTTGATAAACTTCTGTGACTCCAACTGTCATTCTCCTTGCCAGACAGTCAGTATCACCAAGTGTTTGTCCTAGAGGGCAAACACTGTCCAGGAAAATATTGGTTTATTTATTTTTATCCTTGCAAACCTTGTTTAGATCTCAGTTTGTGAGTCCATGAAGCAGAAACAAAGTTTGCCCAAGCTTTTCACTGATGCTTTACCGTGGTCTGTCAGCCTTAGAATTTTTTTTCTTCTGGCTTTTTTCATTCTACTCATGTGCACTTTCTGTACAGCAAATATTAGAATTACTGGTCCTACTTTTTCTGTATTTTTATTGAGAAAAGTTGGAAAGATCTGCAGAGAACTTGAATAATGATATTTAATTGTGCTGTTTCCTGAGCATAAGATCCCTCTTCATCCAAAATAGTCAGACAGGGAATAATAAAAGGAGACTAATTGAAAACTGATATTTCATATATCTTAATGGAGAAATAGCAAAACAAAAACCAGTTTTGCTTTATTTTGTGTTAGTCATATTTCTGGCAGTAGCTTAGAAAAAAAATTGAAACACTGTAATTCTGTATTACAATAAGACTATTTGAACTGAAAATAATTGCAGAGTTTCCTGGTATGACACATGGTAGTCTTGTTCAGCAGGGGGTCATGTTCTCACAACTGAATGCTGGAGAAGTTAAAAGGAAAAATAATCCCATAAATTACCAGAGTTTTGTCCTTGCATGGATGTTTCCACTGTTGGACACGTGGCCAGGAGCAAAATGGACCATTACTTTCTACTGCTGCTTTTCTTTATGTTTTGATACAGTATCTGGATACAGGACTTGCAACTGTATTTTTGGTGATCTAAAAGTTACAGTTTAACATCTGATACCCTGTCAGTATAGCTCTTAAAAAGCCTATTGTTTTAAATTAGGTAACCAAAAATCATCTCACCCATATCCGTGTTTTTGAGAATGTATTTACTCTCTCTCTCAGTTATATTACAATACTGCAGTGTTGATAAGCCAAAATTTTAGTTGGTATACATATGCATTGGATGATGGTTAGGCTGTAAAAAGCACACAAAGGAAATGCTTAGTTGCTAATAATCTGTAATAAACTCTGTTCTGCCTTGTGCTCCAGAAGTGCTCTCTGGGACTATCTTAGCAGACTCCTTATCTGTGCTGAGACATAAATTTCATTTGATTTTCCAATGGTGTGCTACTGCTTAGTAACATAATATTTGAAATCACTTTTCAATTCTGTTTTGACCCTGTAAAGATCTTTCAGTGTGATTTATGTTGCTTCAGGAACCTGGAAGAGAGGAGCAGTAGAAGAGTATGTTACATAACTCTCTGCTGAGTTAGAGGTGCTCACTGCAGCCAACTTTTAAGCTTCCCAGGCTGTTGATTCTAGTTATTAGATTGTCTTTGGCTCATCTCTCATTTCACCTGTGCAATTGCATTGACATTTTTCTGCTGTGCTATAGAGAGTTAAATCTTGGGAAGCTTGAGCCTGGAAACTGAGGGACCAAAGTGGATAGACCACTTCTTGCTGGTAAATGGCTGCCCCCAGGTTTACTGGAGAACATGTTTTTTTCAGCCCTGACTTGTACTATCCCAGGCTTGTAATCCCTCTCCCATACTTAGGATGTCTCAGGTCAAGGGAATAGGATTGACTGAGGCACTTGATGCTTATCCTGGAGCAATGAAAAAAGCAGTAAGAAGGGAGAGAGTAGTTTGGTACTAGAAGATTAATTTTGTTTTAGATTGCTTTTGCTCTGAGCACTGTTTTGCCACTTTTGCTTCAGCTCTGTTACACTGCACAGAAAGCTGTGCAGCCTTATTACACTCTTAATCTTTATGGCTCTCCACCCACCTGAGCTGTCAGCCCTTTGCTTTAGGAAGGGTTTAGCTTTACTTACTGTATTATTCTTAATACTTGCAAACACTTGTAGCTAGCAGTCACTTGACTTACAATGTACTTTATCACAGAACTGCTCAGCTGCTACTTCTCAGCACAGTCTGGGAGGATGTTCTGGTATTTTAGAGCCTACAGCACAAAACAGTTAACTCAGGGAGATGCTTTAAAGTGACAAGTAATCTCTGCTGTGTTTTTCTAACCTTATCTCGTCTTTCTCTGAATTCAAGCACAGTGAACAGAAAATGTCCTGGATATTGAATTCTTATGATGATAAATGGAGCTGTTGAGCAAATTTTATCTCACTGCTGTTATTGTGGGAAATCAGGCATTTTACTTTCCCTCTCAAGGCACTATTCATAAGGCCACAGACTGTTACAACAGTTTTCAGAGTTAAACAGATCATAGTTTTATTTTTATTTTTACAGTTGCATGAAATTGAATGAAGATTGTGATTAAGAGCTTCTGAGCCATTTCAAAATTTCATTTTAAATAGCTCTTAATAGTCTTTGGAGCTGCACCCAGCACCATTGGTAGCTTTCAGCATGCTGTCTGCTTTGGTTGAGGAGTGAAGCCAGTGTTTAAGAAAAAAACAAAAACAAAAACAAAAAAGTTCATTCTACCATTGCAGTAAGAATTCCTACCAGTATCTCTGAAAGAAAAACTCATTTGCAGTTACTTTGCTTTCCAAAAAATGAAGAAAACAGAGGTTTCTCATAGAACAGCCTGTTCTCTGTCATTTAAGTTATCATTTAAAGTCTCTTAATAAAGTACAGAAAGATTGCTAAAGGCAACAAGTTTAGTGATATAGACAACAAGTTGCTCAGAAAACATAAGAATGAACAAATACAGTATTTGTTATAGTTTAATGGCTCTAGTGTATGAGTTTCCAAAGACTCATGGAAATCAAAATATAAAATTACTGCTGTCTCTCAGGTCTATGCATGGTCCAGACTAAACTATCCCTTGATATTTGGTGTTTTTTAATATTGATACATATATTTTTTATGTGTGTCTATATAT